TGGAATTAATAGTTTATCTCTCTTTCTACTTTCTTTCCTTTTTTGTCTGCTGTTTCATCCGGCTACTTTTGCTGCTTAACAGCTTTCAATCGATCCTTAAACACAGACTTCTGACACGTCTTATGTTCTTTTGCACCTGTGGATCACTTGTGCACCTAGTGTGGTTTGACGTGACATTTTATTGTTTTTCTGTGCGTGCAGGACACTTAAGGGACACAATTTGAGATGATCATGCAAACAGCCACACAACAAAATCGTATCTGACAAAAAAATCGGCATTGAGCATTAAGACCCCCAGTGTGAATCTAGCCAAAAATGGGCATGGAGGATTGCTAAGCTTGGTCATCCAAAATGTATCTTTGGCAACACATGGTGGATCATAAAAACAGTGATAACTAATTTTTAATTTTCTGGAACAGGCAACAAGACTTTTGACTAAAGTATCCTTCAGGCATGTCACCCTGCTTAGACCAGTGCATATCCAGGCCCGCCTGAAGTTTGTCAGGCAGCATTTGGATGATCCAGTAGAGAACTAAGAAAATATAATGTAATTTGATGAAACCCAAAAAGATATTTAAGACAATTTATATATTTGTTTTTTTTTATTTTATTTGCTGCCCTTTACAGGTCCCTCTTGATCTCAAAGAGGCTATAGCCATTTAAATGAAAGCTGAGTAAATGTCAGATAAGAATACATGGAATGAGGTTTTACGGTGTGTTGACTCTGGACGGAAGAAGAGTGCAGCGTGTGTTTCTGATCCGATCCAGTCAACAAACTGGTCTGTTTTCAAGGCTGGGTCAGCTCTGGGGGAGATATGAATCAGTCTGATACAAACAACAAGGGAATTTGATGGGCTTTAATCTATTTAATAATTTACGCCAATGTCAGGAGCATCCCCACTGACAATATAAGCCATAATTGATGCACTGCAGTGCCAGATCCTCACAGTAGGTGTGGTAACAGGAATTCGACAGGTGCACTGCAATCAGAGGTTCGCATTGCAGGAAGGTTACCTGGTTAGCTAGGTTGCCTGCAAATACAGTTGCTTTGAAAGGGCTTCAGGTGAAGGCAGCTTCTCTCCCTTGCAGGCAGGTAGCCATGGGGTAAAAGAGGACATTCAGTCCCACGCATTGGGTTTTAAAGTAGCAGGATGTTGGAGGGCTGGCTTGCTTGCATCACAGTTCCCCAGCAGCTGGTTTGTCTCACATTATGATATTGCAGGGTTTGGACTGCTTAAAAAGCTGTGGAGTGCTACAGACGGATCTCAACACTACATCGGAATGTAACTGTTGAAGGAAGAGATGCGCAAGACAGAGAAAGCGAGGCTGCAGGGGGGGCAAACTAAGAAGCCAAAGAGAAATCCTCACAGACCTCCACTTCCATCAATCATGCTCTCCAACGTCCGCTCTCTAGAAAACAAAATGGATAATCTCCGCCTGGAACTCTCATCAAAGAAGGAGATTAGTAACTGCTGCGCCATTATTCTGACACAGTCTTGGCTGCATCTAGAAATACCTGTCAATGCTATTAACCTGGAGGGGCTAACGCTATACCGCGCCAATAGGAATAAAGAACTAAGCGGTAAGAATCGAGGTGGTGGGCTCTGTGTTTACATCAACAACAGCTGGTGCAAGAACGCTAGATCAGTCGCCAGCTTCTGCTGCTCCCAGCGCTAATACAAAAGAGGCCATGAAGACTGTATACCAGGCTATCTCTGAGCTCCAATCTGCATTCACAAAGGGTGTTTTCATCATTGCTGGAGATTTTGAAAACATTTTAGACTTGGTTTACTCTAACAACAAAAATGCATTCAGAGCAGCCCCCACCTCAGGTCATCAGATCATCTCTCAGTCATTCTTATCCCTGCATATAAGCCCCAGCTGATCAGGGCTAAACTGACAGTCCGAGTGTGGTCTGAGGGAGCCATGGAGAAACTCCAAGACTGTTTTGAATGCTCTGACTGGAACATCTTCAAGGCTTCAGCAACATTTGACAACTTATTAAATATTGATGAGTATGCCATGACTGTGTCAGCCTACATTAACAAATGTATTGAAGATGCCAGCATCAAAAAGAATATCACCACCCGGGTCAACCAACCACCCTGGATAAATGGAGAGGTTCTGGAAATCGCTAAAAGCACAGAACTCAGCTTTCAAGTCTGGTGATACAGAGGCACTGAGAACAACGCGTGCCAACTTAAACCGTGCCATCAGATCAGCAAAGCCCGAAAATCCAGGATCTTTTCCACAATGACAGCAACACCAGGAAGATGTGGAAAGGCATTTGGATGATCATGTACTAAAACACACCCTTCCCCCCGGTAGATGAAGCAAACACTGACTTCCTAAATAAACTGAACAACTTCTTTAGAAAGTTTGAGGCACTAAACAGCACTCCAGCAGTGAAAGCCATTCTACACCAGGGGGAGGAGGCACTTAACCTGGACCCAGCTGAAGTGAGGAAAACTCTGAGGAGAGTCAACCCAAGGAAGGACCCAGGGCCTGGGCTGTTATATAAGGAGTGTGCAGATCAGCTGGCTGGTGTCCTCACAGATATCTTTAACACCTAGCTCGACCTATCCGTAGTTCCAGCATGCTTCAAGTCTGCCACCATTGTTCCGGTACCAAAGAAGCCTCAGGTCACCCCACTTAATGATTGCCAGCCTGTTGCACTGACTCCAATCATGATTTAGTGCTTTGAAAGGCTCGTTAAAGAACACATCATCTCCAGTGTGCACCATATGCAACATTCAACCCATTCCAGTTTGCCTACCGACGAAACCGCTCCACAGAGGACGCCATCTCTGCTGCTCTCCATCTGAGCCTGGCACACCTGGAGGAGAAGAACCCCCACGTGCGGATGCTGTTCCTAGACTTCAATTAAGCTTTCAACACCATCATCCCACAGCATCTGATGGGCAAACTGGAACAGCTGGGCTTCAACACAACCCTTCAAAACTGGCTGCTAGACTTCCTCACCAACAGACCTCAGTCAGTCCAGGTCACAAAGAACACCTCTGATGTCATCATCCTAAGCGCAGGCTCTCCTCAGGGCTGTATCCTGAACCTCCTGCTGTTCACCCTGATGACACATGACCGCGTCCCCAGGTTCACCACCAATCACATTGTGAAGTTTGCAGACTACACCATGGTGGTGGGCCTCATCAGTGATGACAACAACCAGAACTACAGACAGGAGGTGGAGCAGCTGGTGGACTGGTTCAAAAATAACAGCCTGATCCTGAACGTGGAAAAGACGAAGGAGATAATCTTGGACTTTAGGAAGAACCGGCCGGACAGCCCACCTGCTCCCACCCATCCTCACTACCTTCTACAGAAGGACCATAGACAGCATTCTGACCAGCTGTCTCACTGTGTGGTGTGGAGGCTGCAGCGCCTTAGACTGGGAGACAGTGAGGAGAGTGGTGAGAACAGCAGAGAAGATTATCGGGGCTCCCCAGCGCTGCATGTCCTGAGCCCGTAACATTATTAAGGACCCCTCACACCCTCACCATGGACTGTTCATCCTGCTGCCCTCTGGTAAGAGACTTCGAAGCATCCGATGCTACTAAAGCAAATTGGTGTTGAGATCCGCAAAGGCATGTTGCTTCTGAGATAACATGCAACGGAGGAGCTATTAGATGTAATACTTTTATTTGTACTCTAATTCCATCGTTTCAGCTGGAGAGTCCACTGCAATCTTAGAAAATACACGTTTGTTAGTTGCTGACTTGAAAATCAATAATGCAATGGGCAGTTTAGGTTTTTTCTTTTCTCAAACCACTGATCGTGCTCTGAAATCCCAGATAAGATATCAGTTGTCTTTTTGGGTAATCTTTGCTTCTATCTCATTCCTGCCAAAGCTTGGCTTTACAATAACATCAATCTTTCATCGCTTTGCCACTATCTACCTTATTTTCCGCAAACTTACACCAACAAATACACAGCTCTGTCCAACAAACCATAAAAAAATATTCCTCCTTTTTCTTACTTTTTAAAACTACTTTTTGTCTACAAGCAACAAATAATTGTCTTAAATTTGCAGAGTTAGAGCTGCAGGGAAAAACATTTCAGCTGGTGTCATCATCTCAAGCCATTAGTAAGGCTATTTGATCAGTGGTGAAGCAGAACATGGTTGTGGATGCCAGCCAACCAGAAAAACACTGACACATCACAGTGAGTAAAAGCAAGGTGGAGACACATGTACAACAAAGAGTCCAATGTGTTTTAAATGACTGTTTGTGGTTTGTTACGCCATGCATCTCTTTGAGTTTTTCATGGTTCAGTAGCTAAAAATGACCTAGGAGGTATTGAGCCGGTTGAACAGACAGTGTTTACATGCACACACACAGTGAAGTGGGAAATAGTGAAACAAAACTGACTTTGGCAGGTTTGGATTAGATGCAAAGTTGATAGTTGCCTTCTTATAACCAAGTATATTCTGAGCATTTCGTTGTCAAAACATGCTATTGCTTATGTCTAGGCCTGTCACAACACAATGAGAGTTTAGAGACCATTTTTAACTAATAGTAATGAACAGATTTGAGAACTCAAAAAATCAGTAACTCAAATTTTTATTATTTATTGATTTTTGAGTTTAGAAATTGGCAGGAAACCACCAGCAGCATGATCGGGTACCTCATGAGGATAAGAGGGCATATACCACAACACTCTCTATTGTCCTCCATAAAAAAGTTGCAATGCGGCAGATCTCATTCAATCATCAATGCATCGCCTCTTGTTTTAAAAAATTCTCTGATAGACTTCCTGTTACACATTTTGCTCCATTATCATTTCACAAATAGACTCAATCCATATATATGATGGAAAACGTTGAGGAGCTGTCCATCATGCATCAGAATTGGTAGGAGTTAACACACTGACTAAAAAGGCTTCTATTTGTGGCACAAGGATAAAAGAGTCTGTGAATTAGGGGTCAGGTTGGTGGCTGAGTAGAAAATATAGGTGGGAATAAGTTTGATAATAAATCCACTAACCTTCTCGAACTATGGGTGAGAGCAGGGAGACGGTATTATGATTCCTTAGTCCAACAGGCTGGTGACATCAGGGGCATGCCCCTGAGAGCTTGACAGAAAAAAAAAACACATAAAAAAACACTTACAGTGGAAGCAATATACATAATGCATTGTAAAGTCTTTGCAAAAAAAAAAAAGAAGAATGCCCCAAAGAATGCTAATCATTAGGCTCAGCTGAGAAAAACAAACAAAACTACCAGTTTCATGAGTGTCAGCTAACACAAAATCACTCCTTTTAAATAAGAGCAGATGCCTCAAATGGCTATGTGAGGCTTGTTTTCCTGGCAATTTGTATTGGTTGTTAAATGCTTGCAAAATGTTTAAAGCAGACAACACTGTATGAGGCAGGTGGAAGCAATAATAGAGGATTTTTTTTTTTTTTTTTTTTTGCAGGAGTGGCTGACTAACCTGCCTGTGAGATGTTCATTTTGTTCAGCAGAAAAACAACCTGAAGGTAAAGTCTGAGCAGCCTCTGAACAGCATCTGTGGGTACAGCAGAGATGTTAGTTTCTCCTTTTTGACCCTGTTCAACCTGTTCAACCCACTTGAACATGTTTTGGATGCTGAGATAAACCAGCTGATGATGATCCTAAAACCTTATCATGGCAGTTTGGACTAGGGATGGGAATCGAAAACCGGTTCCTGTTCAGAACCGGTTCCGTATTTTCCGATTCCATGGCATCGTTTGGCAGCTCGCTGAACGATTCTTTTTTCGATTCCCGCAGCACCAGAGCCTAGAGCGTCGGCTCTGGGGAGCACGACTTACGTCACGTTTTTTACGTAAGTTACGTAAGTTACGCAAGTTACGCAAGTTGGAAGAACTATTCGAGGAGGAAGACAACGAGCTGCGGTCACTTTGTGAATCAAAGCCCCGTCTTTCCTTAGCCTAGAGGGTAGATCAGGAAATCCAGCTCTATAAAAGCTTGCCCTCCATCCCCTGCAGGGATAGCGCCACACTGTGGTGGTTGAACAAGCAAGATACGCTGCCCTTGCTATCTGGACTGGCTGAAAACTACCTCTGTGTGCAGGCTTCCTCCACCCCATCTGAGAGGGTGTTCTCCACGGCTGGAGACACCATAAGCCCTGAAAGATCCTGTATCCTTCCAGAAAAGGCAGATATGCTCATCTTTCTGCAAAAGAACTGTTAATTTTCCCTACTACTGTTTTATAATTAGTATTTTTTGTTATTTAAAATAGGTTATTATCCCATCATTTGTTATTAGACATTGTTGGTTATTAAGTTTGTTCTTGTATTCATTTTTCATTTAAACACAGATGTTACTCCAGTTTCACATTTCCTGTGGACATCTTGATCTTGTTGAGTTTGTAAGATTGTGCAATAGTTAAGTAAACAAAGTTGATGCTGATAATCAAACTGTTTGTTCTCCTTTTTCCCCCAAATTGGAATCGAAAAAAGAATCGATAAAGAATCGAATCGTTTCATAGAATCGAAAAGGGAATCGGAATCGTGAAAATCTTTTCAATTCCCAACCCTAGTTTGGACCTGTCCTAATTTGTCAATGAGACAAACGACACACTTGTTTTGTGCATGACAAGATTGGTCATGCACAAAACAAACTCAATGATGGCAGTGTAGAATATGTCCAGCTGCTCCTGAGAAGTGTTGTGCTTTCCAAGTTGCTTTCCAAGTGGTCTCTGATGGCAACTCTTGCAAAAAAGTCCATGTCTGAGATCTATCATCTTGTTTACTAAAGAAGATTGTTCCAATGAACTGGTAAGGTTCACACTCAACACAGTGTTGTTTAGGTTCAGGAGGGTAAGCACTCTGAAGGGGAAGTCCACACTCATCTTCTCTGTTTTAAGTGGTTTTAGCTTCAGATAGTTCTGAGCTCACCAATTGATCTGTCATGGGGTGAGGTAGCTTTTTTGCCCACATTTAGAAAGACACTCAAAAGACCAGAATCCATTTCAATACAGTTTATTGAATGAAGAGTTTGTGAGAGGTTTACAAGATTAGGACAGCTCATATGTGGTGCATGGAAGAGACAGTCCAAGTCCAGGCAAGGAAGGTAAAGCCTGGTTTATGCTCAGATACAGGTCGTCTGCGTGTGTGTCACAGTTAACGCAGATATGCCTCCCCTTCTGCAGGCACTCTGTTGCACCTCAGGAAAATTCTAGGTGACCACAGACAGTGGCAGACAGATACCTTTGCAGGGAGGAGAGAAAGGAGGTCTTTGATTGGTCAATTATACATCAGCTCTACATATATTTCCTGTTTGGTGCCTAATGGCAGAAACTCTGGCTGTAGTGCCATCCACAACACCTGGCACCGTACAGGACGCTAGTTTGTAGCTCTTTGCGACGTTCTGTTGGTTTGCACCTGAAGCCAAAACACGCAGCGCCATGGCTGGTCTTTCAGGAACACTCATGGGTGAACTGTGTGTCCTACGGCATTGGATGAGAGGTTATAGACGGTGATAAGCTTGTCAAACCGACACATTGACATCCTCAATCCTAGCTAGTTCGTGATTGTCCCTCTTGCGTCGTAGGGTGCAATAACATAGTGCAGATCATGTTTCAAAATTAGGCATAAATCAAAAATATCTGTGTCATCCCTGCGATAAGCTAACTGTGACACACTGCTGCGGGAGTATACACAGCCCTTAAGACTTGAATGGCAGGCCAAGAGTCAGAGGGTGGCAGCTGTGGCTTTGGAGTGTAGAGAAGCAGGCAGATAATGGAGGTGAGACTGTGGAAAACAAATCCTGATTCTAAAACTGCTTCAAGGGAGAGAATGGACAGCAGTTTTGTCCTTGACAGAAGGGAAGGGGCTAAAATGGAATACCCTTCGGTTTACAATCAGGTGAGTGTAAACACACACAGAAAATAACAGGAACAAACTGGTCCACCTCCTGTCTGTATGCAGATCCATCTTTGTCCTCATCAGAACCTTAATGATGGTGTCATTTGAAAGCTTGAGGAGTTTCACAAACCGGTCAGCTGAAGTAGAGGAGAACACATCCCTGATGGGCTCCAGTGTTGGTGGTTCTTGAGTGGAGGAACATGCTTCCCAGTTTCACTTGCTGTTTTTGTTAAGTCAGGAAGTTGATGACTGACAGGTTAGGATCAGCACTTTGAGCTGAACAAACTTCCACATAGTTCATCACAGTTAAAATTAGATAACAAGGGAGGCAGTATAATTTCAGACTTGTTTGAATACTTGCTTTTTCATAACTCCTATATTTTTTTCCTATACTAAAATTAACTTCTGAAATTACCATTGTCTAAAATTGAAAGATTCCAAATAAGGACCACTAAGTTGCTTGCACATGCAACTATTGCACAAATTGCAGGTGTTCTACAATGTTACTTGTTCAATGAATAGCAGATACTAATTTGGTTAAGACCATCCTATTTAAATAAAGAAGTTGCTCCTGCTGCCGGTAGTTCTTGGAAATCAGGAAGGCCTTAAAGGAATAGTACACCCAAAACATGATTAGCCTTCATTTTCTACTCACCCCCATGCTGAACAACACTCTGGAGTACTTTTTTGATATCTCAAATGCATCTGGAGATCTGGGAGGCTTCTTGCTGTCTGCTGACATTCAAATAATGGAGGTCTATGGTGACCGAGACAGAAAGGTCCATAAAAGTCCACAAAAAACGTGTCAATATTCCTCCATACTGCTCGTCCAATGTATTCCAAGTGTCCTGAGTGGGTAGCATCCAGAATTTACTCGAAACGAAGTCATTTAGAATGTTTTTAGAGCATAAACAGTAGTGTATAGGATTTCCTGAAAGCGCGCACATGCGCGTTCACGACGCTACGGAAGCCGGCAGACCAAACCAGATGAAAGTGCGCATTCAGCGTCTGCTCTGCCAATGATGCAAGCGTAGAAGAAGAAATGTGCTGTTTACCTGTGCAAAGAAAGAAACAACGAAAGAAAAATGTCTGAGGACTTAAGTGTTGAGGAAGAGCATGAGTTCTTTGCCGAGCTGAATGCGCTGGTTTGGTCTGCCGGCTTCCGTAGCGTCGTGAACGCGCATGTGCGCGCTTTCAGGAAATCCTATACACTACTGTTTATGCTCTAAAAACATTCTAAATGACTTCGTTTCGAGTAAATTCTGGATGCTACCCACTCAGGACACTGGGAATACATTGGACGAGCATTATGGAGGAATATTGACACGTTTTCCCAGATCTCCAGATGCATTTGAGATATCAAAAAAGTACTCCAGAGTGTTGTTCAGCATGGGGGTGAGTAGAAAATGAAGGCTAATCATGTTTTGGGTGTACTATTCCTTTAAAGCGTTAACCTCATTACTCTCCAATGTTATTCTACAAATTTTATTTCTAGCAGTCAAAATATGTTTATATGCAGAAATGCATCTCTCCATAGTCCATCATTACACGTATAGGGCTTCTTCTTGCCGCAATAACAGCAGAGATTCTTACACGATTTTTTTTTTTTTTTTTACCTGAATTTCAAATTAGCTAAATATAAATGTAAAAACTCTACCCACATTCAGTTTTAGGTTAGATAAATTCCTGTCTTGGTGACATGTTTTCACTTTGCATATCGTCTTTTTTTATTTAGCATGTTTTAGTTATAAGCTTATGTTTTGCATACTAAAGAAGGTATGCGTGTTAAAACATTAATAGCGGCTGTTTTGCTAATATTAAATGCTAAATTTACTGTACACATGATTGGAAGATCAGTTTTGCTGACTTTATCAAGTTTGCATGCAGAGATGGGAAGTAACGAAGTACAAATACTTTGTTACTGTACTCAAGTAGATTTTTCTGATATTTTTACTTTACTTTACTACTTATTTTTCTGGCGACTTTTTACTTCTACTCCTTACATTTTTACACAAATATCTGTACTTTCTACTCCTTACATTTTAAAAAATTGGCTTGTTACTTAAGTTTTGAATCATTTCAATGGAGTTACCGTTATTATTTTTCACGTCATCAATACCAAATTCAATCTAATTGGATGGGAATCTACGTTGCATTTGATGCACCACTACAAGATGAATCGACAGATTCGGCGGTATTCATTGGCGGCAAATCATTGCAGCTTGGTGGCGGTGGCGTTAGCATAGTAGCATGCACGACGAGATGATTGAAAATGAACACAACGGAGTTCTAGTCCTATTGGCAGACATCCATTTAAAATGTAGGCAACGGCATGAAAAAAGTGGTTTCTACTTTCACTTTTATACTTTAAGTAAATTTACAAGCCTGTACTTTGTTACTTTTACTTGAGTAAAGAAGTTTAATCAGTACTTCCACTTTTACCAGAGTATTTTTTAACACAAGTATCTGTACTTTTACTCAAGTACGGAAAGTGAGTACTTTTGCCATCTCTGTTTGCATGTACTTGTGTGTGTGCAAGTCTTTTTAAAGCTCAGAGGATGTGTGTACATTTTGAAACAATGTGTTTTTGTATCTGATAAATGG